CTACAACTTCATCGCGGTGCTGGGGCCGCGCTCGTTCCCAGCCCTGCCGGCGCTGCTGCTGCTCAGCCTGCCCCACAACCTGCTGGGGCTGATCCACAGCCAGGCGCTGCTCGGGCTCGGGGGCCTTCAGGGGTCAGGACTCAGCCCAACTACCTCACTGCACTGACCCCTGAAACCTTCCAGCCCCTTGCCAGCCTGACCACGCTCAACCTGAGCAGCAACAGGCTGAAGGAGCTGGAGCCCGGGGTGCTGCGTGCCCTGCCCCAGCTCCGAGACCTCTTCCTGCAGGACAACCCCTGGGTGTGCAACTGCGGCATCCTGCCCCTCTGGTGCTGGCTCAGCCAAAACAGGGAAAAAGTGCAAAGTGAGTGCCCGCAGGACCGTGTCCCTATGCCCCCCACCCATTCCACGCTGGTGGGTCATCCCGTTGGGGCTGAGGCAGGACCCAGCACCCTGCTGCCAGCTGGACATGTGGTTGGTGACTGGGGGGGTACAGCGAGGTCCCCCGGGACCCGTCCCCAGGGGCCTTGGCAGCTCCTGTGTCTGCTTGGGTGGATGCACCCCTGGGCCTGGTGCCCACCCTTGGTCCATGGCCACCAGCCTGGGGAGCAGGGCTGGGCAGTGGCCCCGCGCCGGGCATGCAGCACTGTCCCAGTGGCACCAGTCCTGCTGTGCTGAGGGCAAGGAGTGACGGGCAATGGGCAGTGGAGAGTGACCCTGTGTGTCAGGGTGGGCATCACCGGTGACCAGCCAGGGCTCAGTGCCTTCAGCCCCTTCCCCACTGCCTTTATGAACACGGGTCTGATCCTGAATTTCTTCCCCTGTGAACCTTGGTGACAGACAGCTCTGCCAGTGAGGTCTCTCCATCCACTGCCACCTCCTGCTGCTTGCTTCCAGCTTTGGGTGCACACTGTCACTCTGCTGACTGGGACCTTCTGTGGCATCTCCAGGCTGGCTGCCCGCTGCTCCCCATGCCTGTCCCCTGGGAACCATGCCCACCACCTCGACTGCCCCATCCAACATCCTGCCCCACACCTGTTTTCCAGTGCCCCCTCCACCACTGCACCCACCTCCGCATCCCATCCCATCCCATCCCATCCTGTCGCATCCCGTCACATCCTATCCCATCCCACTCCCTGGGGCACAGGACGTAGATGATCCCTGAAGTGCCCCCTTCACCACTGCACCGACCTCCCCATCCCATCCCATCCCATCCTGTCGCATCCTGTCGCATCCTATCCCATCCCACTCCCTGGGGCACAGGACGTAGATGATCCCTGAACCCTCTCTGTTCCCCTTCTTTGTGCCCTGCCCAGGGCAATCTGCCCCTGTCCTGCCCTGATCCCACCTGTCCCTTACAGACCTGCCATCGCCACTGTCCTTGGCACCTGCCTTGTCCCAGCTTCCCAGTGTGCCTCTCAGCACTGCTTTTCTCTTCCAGAGAAGAATTTGCTCCTCTGCAGTGTCCCTGTGCAGCTGAACGAGTATCCAATCATGGCCTTTGGGAATGAGTCCTTCAGGCAGTGCCGGGACACGTCACTGTCCACCCAGCAATACATGGTCTTCTCAGTCATTGGACCATTCTCCTTCATAGCCAGCATCATCTTCTGCACCTTCATGGGCTCCATCACAGTCGTTTACCACAACCTGCGCAGGGAACCCCACTTCTGGAGGAGACCCCCCATCTGCAGGGGCCGCTGAGGGAGGGCGACCAAGCATTAGCGCTGGCAGGCTGTGGTCCATGCCCGTCTCCAGATGCCTGCACCCCCTGTTGCAAACATTTCCCTGTGGACCACTGAGAGGATGCTCTGTTCCTGGACATCACTTCTCTTCCTCCTCCCAGAGTCCCCCAGGATGATGCCAGGCTCCCTCTGCCCCACTGCCAGGGGGAGCAGCCCCCAGCTCACTCCCCTGCACAGCACGGTCTGACCGCAGCTGCTCTCTGTTTCGGGAGATCCCCAGGGCCACCCCCCGACCTGCACATCCCCTTTCCGGGGGTGGCCTGGGATCCCCCTCCTCCAGCTCACCCTGTCCTGCCCCTCTGCTGCCCAGGGGCCTCAGGGTGCTTTTCAGGATGCACCGTGTGCCTCCATGTGCCTTTTGGTGCCTCCGGGAGTCACCGTGTTCATCTCAGGACACACCGTATTCCTCTGGGTGCCTTTTGGTGCACCCCAGGAGCCTCTGCCTGCCTTTCAGTTTGCCCCAATGCCCTCCGTGGGTCTTTTCGTGCCCCCAGCACACCCCATCTGGTATTCTGTGACCCAGCAGCCTCAGGGTGCCTTTCTGTGCCCTCAGGACCCCTTGGCGTGTCTTTTTGTGCATGCAAATGCCACCTGTTTGTCTTGCTGTGTCCTGACAGACATCGTTTTGCCTTCTGGTGTGCCCCAGAGCTTTCCATGTGCCTTTTGGTGCACCTGAAGATCTCTGGGTGCTTTTGGAGCTCTCCAGAGCCTCCATGGGACATTCAGAAAGCCCCTGACCCCTCTGTGTGCTTCTCAAGGACAGGGCAGGCTGCGAAATGTTTCTTATGATAGTTTTTTTTTTCTTGAGACAGGGCTGCTGATGCTCAGCCAACAACCAAGTTCTAGGGTGAGGCTGAGGTTTAGGGTGAGGCTTGGAAAGAGTCAAAGCCTTGAGCTCCCGTTGATGTGGTTCAGCAAAGGGGTTGCCAAAGGATGGGTGAGGCTGCACAGCATTTCCTCCTCCAACAGCTTTTCCCTTGGCTAGAGCTCATCCCAGCCCAAAGTCCAGGGCTAGCTCAGTGAGGAGCTCAGGAGTGGGGACAAAGAAGCCCATTGTGTGTTTACAGCCCAGAGCCCACAGCCCTTGCTGCTGCCTCACTTCCCATCGCCCACACACAGGGGTTGCATCTACCTGCCCTTCCCTGCAGAAATGCTTCTCCCCTGCATCGCATGGAAATGCTTAGTGAACGTATGGGGAGATGGCCTGGGAGGAGCTGGAGTGTGCTCCAGAGGAAACCACAAGCTGGGGTGACAAAAGCTTCTCTCAAGGAGGAGCAACAGCCATTCTGGCATTAGTTCCTACTCATTGCAAAGTGAAAAGAGACACAATGAGATGACTGCGACCACCAGCTTTCCCCTGTTCGCTCATCTCTTGCCCATGCACGAGCTGTGGGACAAGGCAGAGATGTGGCAGGGGTCGATGCATCCTTTGGAAAGCTCTTGGCAAGGGTTAAATAAATCATGCAGAGAATAAACCAAATGTCACCTCAATTGTGGCTTGATCCCATTTTTGTTTTCAGAAGAGGAACCAACCCAGTGTGCTGCCCCACTGCTTGATTCCCACTCAGCTCTTCTGTGGTGCCTCTCCCTGGGGAGGGGTGCAAGGGCTGCGGGAGCTGACGAAAGCAGCAACTCCTCCAGTGCTCCCAGCCCTGCACCTGGGATGGCTGCAGGACTTGTGCCAGGATCAGCCCCTTGCACGGAGCCTTTCCCAGGAGCAATCCCAGCTTTCCCAGACCCTCTCTAGTGACACCATGCAGTCCTTCCCGAGAAGTCCAAGGCTTCCCATTTGGAGCTGGGACCTTGCTTGTCACCCTGCATGGCCACCTGAGCCCTGCTCCTCCTCCCTGATCATCCTGAGGCTGAGACCCCCGTGTAGGCTGGGCTGGTGGTCTCAGCAGATGGGGAGCATGCTGTGAATGAGTGATGTTGCTTCAGTTCAGCCCAGGGGACCTGCCTCTCTGTTTTGCAAATCTGTCGGGGCACCTCCCTATGGATGGGCTGATGTGTGGTGACCTCCCTGCCTTCATCCCTGCAGTCACTCCTCTGTTCCCAAAGCCAGCCCCACTGTCAGAGCCGCACACTGGCTCCCGGGACCTGGGAAGCATGGCAGCGGCAGAGGACTGTCATCCCCTGGAGGGAGGTGGGTGAGAGCCACCTGGCACGGTGCTGGCATTTGGACAGTTCAGACTGTCCCCGGCCCCCCACTGCCAGCCCTGTCCCCCCACTGGCTGTCCATCAGCCTGGCATCCTGGAACGGTGATGCCCCTTCTCTCCCAGTCTTCCCCAGAGCTCCTGGCCTTTCTCCCTGCTGGCTTCTCCATCTCTCCCCATCCCTCCACCTTTCACGGTTTGCAAACCCTGCAGCAGCCCTGGGCGAGGCTCTGACGCAGCGTGGGGCTCCCTGCCAGCTTTGCCACAAGGTAGAGACAGAAAGAGGCACACAGCACTGGAATAAACCACTTCATGATTCAGTCTAGACTTTACTGAGCTCTTGCAAAAACTTGGTATTAATGTTACATCGACGTATAAAGTAGAATGGGTCCAATTGCTCAGCTGGAGAGAGATGAACTTAATGGAGCCACTGCAGTCAGTGGGATGATGCTCACAGACCTCAGCTGCTGTCTGAAAATCCTGCCTGCAAAGGCTGCCAACCCTCAGGGGGAAGCCCCTTCTGCTTGGCTGGGGCAAGGAGAAGGCAGTTCATGCTGCTGGGGCTTGGTACCACCTTGCAGGTGGGTTTTCTACCTTTGGCGGAGGCAGGATGTGGTGCTGCCGGTGCACGTGCCGTAGCTCCTCATCACCAGCCTGGCTGGTGCCAGACGCTGCCTGGATGCTGGTGTCTCAACACCCGCTCACGGTGCCCACGGGGCGGGTGCTCAGGGATGCTGGCACATGGGCAAGTACACTTGAGGGGAGGAAGCTGTCGGGAGGAACGGCGTCAGCCTGTCTCGTTGGGTTCCCTTCTCCCAAGCTGGGATCCAGTTTCCACATCTCCAGGTTACAGCCGGATGCAGCCATATGAGCTGGGGCTGAAGGGCTGCTGCGGGAGCTGCTGGCAAGTTGGTACCATGGCTGAGGGTGTCAGGGAAGATGCCAGTGTCCTGGCGCTGCAGGTGGGCTGGGTGGACGCTGCAGACACCCCAGCATGCAGCAAGCCACGACCGGCCGGCAGCATCTCCCTTGCATTGCCGGTGCTGCGGCAGTGTGGAGCTTGGCTGAAAGTCGAAGCAGCCATCTAGAGCCATTTCCTGTGGAGATGTTCCTGGCCAGAAGAGCCACGGTGTGAGAGCTACATGCTGGCCATGGCCAGGCCCTGGGCAGATCTTCTGTGCAGGAGAAGACACATGGGGAGCCAGGATCTTGGCTGAGAGCATGTGATGAGCTCCAGGGTACCACGTTTAGCACAGGAGCGTGGGCTGTGGGGCTGGGAGCACTCCTGCTGCAGCAGACCACATACGGGAGCAGAGTCGTAGCCACGGGCTTTGAGCACAGGCTGATGGAAGGAGGTTCGTCCCCCAGCGAGGAGCAGAGCACACACATCTTCCACCCCAGCTGCAGAGGCAGGGGTCACTCAGCACACCAAGAACATGTGCCCAACCTATGCCCCAGCCGCTCAGGACCACGAGCACGTCGCACTGGAGCCCTCCAGGGTGGTGGGAGCCGTGGAGCACGTCTGAGGGGCCGTGCATGTGCTGAGAAGCCTGAAGCCTGCAAAGTGAAGCACATGGTTGTCGTCTGGCACCAGCTCTTCCCGTGGGAGAGCCGGCACCGTGTGCCTTTCCAAGTCCTTTCCCCTCGCAGGTAGCCAGTCAGTGGCAATACTGATAATCAACAGCACTGGTTGGAAACAATTATCTCTGTACAGTGAAGTCCAAACCATGTCCTGGTTCTGCCGTGCGTTCTGGGGCATGGGCATGGCAGCAGGCCTGGGAAGGGAGGGAGATTTACAATGAAGTCACTGTGTATGGATGAAGGATGCTTTCCTCCCATCTCACCCAGAAGAACCCATCAGTGTCCCTTGAAAGGCAGCCCTGGCTGTGCCTTCCTGCTGTGCTGGGCAAGGACTGATGGCCCTCCGGGAGAAGGTCACACCACAGTGCTGACGGAGGGGTCGGAGAGGTTGAGCTGGCCGGTGATGTCGGTGGGATGATATTGCTGCAACACACAAATACACAGACAAGGAGAAAGACGTGTTAGGCAGTTCTGGCACTCGCCGCCGCCTCTGCTAACACCCCATGTTTCCCTGGGGGGGATGCAACGTGTCGAAACCTGCTGCTGGCTGAGGTCCCCTTCCCAACGCAATCCAGGCTTGTGCAGAGGTCATTGCAGACACTCTCCAAGCACCCTACGGTGGGGCAGGGAGGACGCCCGGGCATGCGGCGCTGCTTCTGCAGAGCGTGGCAGCCGCGTCGCCGGCGGAGCGAGCCCCTCTCTGCTCTGGGAGAGCTACAAGACAAAGCCTGTGACTAATCAGCCCAGCCCACGGCTGAACCTGTGTTTGGAGGGTCTGGCTGGGTTTCAGCATCTCTCTGGTGCCAGATCAAGCTGTGCTTTGAGGCCAGGGCTTTTCACCTCCTCGCTTGAACGACTCTGCTGTGGCTATCCTTACATGCAGGTGAGAAGATGTGCGGTGTGGTTGACTTGCAGTAAACTGTAGCATCAGTTGCTAATGAGAAAAGACAGCCTGTGTTGGGGATGTGGCCTGGATTTGGGATTCTGCACTCCTTATGGATGGGGAGCTTGGGAAACACTCCCTGGGAGAGACCTCCCCAGCTGCAGTCCCACCAGCAAGCAAATGGGGAGAGCAGAGAGGGCAAGAAAAAAGAAGTCCTTCCTCCCCAGGCAGGGATTTACAACTGGGCAGTTATGATCTCCCTTCCTCCTTCTATACTCCCTTCCTCTCCCTGTTCCACTCTCCTAACTCCAGACCCTGACCTGGAAGCCCTGTCCAGCCCCACTGCGAGAGCAGGTGGCACTGAGCTGCTCCTTGGGGACCTAAATCGGTGCCAGGGCAGGAAAGGGTCTCGGTGGGTCTCATGTGCTGCGGACCCTCTCCAGTGACATTTGCCCGGCCCTTGCACCACGCTACCCAGGAGGGCTGCTGTCTGCTGGGCTCCTGGGAGGCTCCTCGGTGACGGGATTGTACCCATCTTGTGTT